AGTGTAACCTTCTTATACCAACATCCACATGTGGTAATCTATAGATTATAAAAATGTAGACATTCAAATTTTCCAAAAATGAAATAGTATGTTGTCAAATAATAATGGAAGAGTTATGAAATAACTCTCTGAAGTGTTACGGTTACCAAAATATGCCATGATCAATTTTCGTAAGTTTTCCTAAAACACTATTTTGAGACCCTGCTCTGATACCAATTGAAAGAACGAGATGCATCAAGAGGGGGGGGGGGTGAATTAGTATTTTAAAAAATAAATCCTAAATATGAGTTTTATTTTTATTTTTTTTAATTTTTGGATTTTTGTTTATTTCAAAAGGGTGTGAGGCCTGCAATGCTTTATGGTGCCGAATGTTGGCCATTAAAAGAGAAGCATAATACTAAGTTAAGTGTGGCAGAGATGAGGATGCTCAGGTGGATGAGTGGCTTTACCCTTGGAGATAGGATACGAAATGAGCATATACGTGAAAAGGTTGGAGTAGCTCCAGTAGAAGATAAGATTAGAGAGAGTCGCCTTAGATGGTTTGGTCACATAAAAGGGCGGCCTTGCGATGACCCGGTTAGGAGATTATATGTATTAGATTTGACTTATGTTAAGAAAGGTAGGGGTAGACCTAAAAAGACTTGGTTAGAAAATATTAGGAATGACCTTTCTTTATTAGATTTAAACGAGAATTTGACTTTTAATATGACACAATGGAGAAAAAGATTCATGTAGCCGACCCCACGTAGTGGGATAAAGGCTTGATGTTGTTGTTGTTGTTGTATCAAATGATATATAACTAATAATAAATCATAAACAGTTTTATGTATTTCTATCATTTTTAATTTTATTCTAAAACATTTCAATGTATATATCACTATTTTAAATGTTTAAAACTTATTTAATTTGTATTATTTTAAAAGAATGGATAGTATTAAATTTAAAATTCCTTCAATTTTATAAGTAGAAATTTAATCAAATCCAATAAAAATAATTTCTAAAGAATAAAGCAATGTAATTTAAAATAGGAGCATTTGTTTAATTATAACAAGTTTTAAGGACATAATATAATATAAACTTTATATTATAATAAAATATATATTTACTACTATTAAAAAATAGATGTGATTTGATTGATTTATAATCATAATATTTTCCATTTTGGAAAATAATGCCAAATATTTATAAGAATCCGTCAAAATTCAATTCTTATCTTTTAATTTTAAGTAGAATTTAAGCATAATATTATTTTTTTGAATGTGTTATTAGTTTCTAATGTATGTTTAGAGTCATTGGAATACCTAGAGAGCTCAATTTTGAATAGTGACCCTTGAATAATTTAACTATAACTTTTTATTAAGCGCTGTATTATATCTAAAAATCTATGTAAAGCTTTTATATACTCGTGAGATTGTTTTGTAATGATAAGCCAAGCCATTAGGTCTAAAAACTCCTCTATATCTTATTTTCTTTTCATTATATATTTTTATAATCATTTTATTTATCCTAATTTCTATAACATGTTACAAGCATTCTTTTTATTTTTAACTATTTTGCAACAAAAAATAAATAATTTTATCTTCAAAATTATATATATAAACAATTTATAAACACTGTCATTGCCAGGTCCCAAGTCCTAGATGAGAAAAATGGAGGGTTGCGTTAGGTAGTCAACAATCAGTGTAAAATTTGTCGAATAATCATGACATGAATCATTTAATACATTGTGTTAATGCTAGGGCGTTTTATGGAAGTAACACGCTGTATGGCCTAAATACAGCGAGATGTGTGGGGGTTTGCAAGAGGATGTACCTTGGTGTATGCTTTAAACCCTTATCTTGTGAATAATCATGACATGAAGGATCAGCTTAAGCTCTTATATTTTTGCTTTAGTCATGGATGTTCTAACTAGACATTTGCAAGAGGATGTATCTTAGTACATGCTTTTTGTTGATGATCTTCTTGTTGATAAGACTATAGAGGGAGTTGAAGGTAAATACGAATTATGGAGGTCAATCATAGAGTCTAATGGTTTTCGTCTGAGTAGATCTAAAATCGAGTACATTGAGTGTAATTTTAGTAGTAATAGATCTAGTGGGGAGTTGACTTTGAGCGATCAAGTCATTAATAAGTGTATTCATTTTAGATATCTTGGGTCTATTGTTTAGAGTGATGGCGAAATAGATGGGGATATTATTAGTAGAATTCAAGTTGGATGTTTGAAGTGGAGGAATGCTTCGGGTTTGTTGTGTGATAAAAAAGTACCACTTAATCTTAAGGGAAAATTTTATAAGAGGGTGGTGAGACCTGCAATGTTTTATGACGCAAAATATTAGCTATTAAAAGAGAAGCGTAATATTAAGTTAAGTGTTGCTGAGATGAGGATGCTCAGGTGGATGAGTGGACGACTTGTTCTTAGAGATAGGATACGAAATGAACATATTCGGGAAAATGTTGGAGTAGTTCTAGTGATAGATAAGATTAGAGAGAGTCGCCTTAGATGATTGGTCATGTAAAACGTCTGCCTTCCGATGACACTATTAGTAGAGTAGATGTATTAGATTTGACCTATCTTAAGATAGGTAGAGTTAGACCTAAAAGTCTTGGTTATAAAATATTAGAAATGACATTCTTTATTAGATTTAAATGAGAATTTGACTCTTAAGAGGACACAACGGAGAAAAAGGATTCATGTAGCCGACCCCATGAAGTGGGATAAAGGCTTGATGTTGTTGTTGTTGCATTCTAAACAATTTATAATTTTGTTTACACTTTGAATTTAATATCAATGTGATATACAACTCATAATAACATTTTAAATACTTTTATATATTTCCATTATTTATAATTTTATTGTAAAAGAATTTAAATGCATACAATAGTATTTTAATATTTAATTTTTTCTCAATTTATCTTGCATTAAAAAAAAATTGGGAGAATATCACATTCAAAAATTTATTAAGAATTGTAAATAGAAATTTAATTCAAACCAATGAAATTAATTTTAAATGAATAAATAAATTTCAAATATGATTTCTTTCAATTATAGTGAATCTTGAAAGAATAATTTAATATAACATTTAAATTATTATAAAATTTAAATTTTAAAATAGAATATTAACAATGTGCTTTTAAGGCACATGCATTTTAATTAGTGAGGTGGACAAATTGAAATTTATTTCAGCTCACAAAATAGAATATTAAGAATGTGCTTTTAAGGCACATGCATTTTAATTAGTAAATAAAATAACATCATTTCAAACAAGAAACATCATAGCCATGAAACAACAAACAAGCAGCTTTTATCCCCTACGTGGGATCAACTACCTGAATTCTTTTTCTCATTGTGTTCTATTATGACTCAAATTCTCATTTAAATCTAATACAAAAAAGTTCATATTTTATACTATCTATTTAGATCTTTTTAAGTCCACCTCTACCTTTATTAATATAGGCCTAATTTTATACCTCTACTCTCCTAACAGACGTTTTATGTGACCAAATCATCTAAAGTGACTCTCTAATTTTATCCGCCACTAAAGCTACTCTAATATTTTCACATGCGTAAATGCTTCACTTTTTTTTAGTAGCATCATAGCCATGAAACAAAGAAGAAAAAAAATGTATTATAAAATGCGTAATGCGAATCTCAATGTTCACTTTCTTTGCCACCGGCAATCATACACTTTTTAATTTTTTGCCACCGACAACCATACACTTTCTAATTTTTAACATATACATATCTTGTAAATTAAGTTTTGTTTGATAAATGATTTGATTTGAAAGATAAACGAGGCGTATCATTGTAGGAGTTTGTCTCTTATCATGTTTTCAATTGAACTTCTAGATCTCTCAACACTTTTTATATTATAATAAATTTAAAATGCCAAAAATCCTCAATTTTTTAGAGAAAAAACATTATCCTTCTCACCTTTTAGCCGCAAACCTTCTCTTCCCCTTCATATAGCCTCCCTTAAACTTTCTAATGGTTATAATTGTGTAATTTTACAGGCCACTATATCACATTTAGGAGTGCCATGAGAACTCTCCTACCTGAATTTTTTGATGATGAAGCCTCCGCATTTGATCATGTCCTAGTACCAAGAGGAGACTATGAAATTGATGATGGCATTGAGAATACAGAAGCTACTGCCACAGATTTTGTCAGCACGAAATCACAATCACCCAAGAAGGTAAATGAAATCAAATTAATTCGAATTCAGGGTATCGAAGTGGACCTGGACATTCCTTTCTTCTGGATGGTTAACAACTTGAAGAATCCTGAACATTTTCTTCATATTTGTGTATTTATGGTCCCAGCTTTGAACCCTGCCTGATTCATCTTTACCTCAACAATTACTACACTTTTGATTAATTTTCTTTTTGTTCTTTTGTAATAAACTGATTTCTGTAGATAGGTTTACCAAATATATTTCTTATCATTGGTTTTATTAGCCTTCTGTAAGGTTGAGGATAGATATAATTCTCATGGGTCTTTTACTTAGCCTGATTCATGCTACTCTGCACTTCCATTATTGTATCATTTTGGTCAGTTATATTGCAGCAGATTCAAATAACAGAAAGAAAATGAAAATGTTTTCTAAACTTAAAAATTCATTTGCTATCAATTGATTTCTTATTATTTGAAAGTGGAACCAACTCCTAAGTCTGACTCTGATAGAATATATATATATTGCTCAGCCATTGATGTCATCCTATTATTATTTTTTTTTTATATTTCATATTGCTTCTTTATATTTATATGAAATAATATCTTAGTGATTAAGAAAGCATATGGTATTATTTCAATAATATATTCTAATTATTGTTTAATCTCTAGTGTTGATGATGTTTTAGTTCTATTTCTACTGCTATTTTAATTTTACTCCCATATTAATCTTTTGATAGTTTGTTCTGAATTTATAGAAATCTCAAACTCGACCGGTTGAAGGGAGTTTGAGTTTTGATTCTTTTTCTCTAGTGTTGTCTATTTCAACATCATAGGATTTGTTGTGCAATTTTATTATACTAGTATAAATGAACGTGTACATGATATATTTTAATAAAAAATTTTAAAAATAAATAATGATAGAATAAATTTCAAAATAAAATTATGATAATGATATATAAAAATGATATCATTGATGTTGCTTTATCAATGATATTAAATGCTAGATAAATATTACATGGAATATTTATGTACTTTTAAATGATTTATAAATATGTTTGTTGTTAGGTCTCAAATTTTGGATGAGAAAATGGAGGGTTGTGATAGTTAGTCAACAACCAGCTTTAAACTTAAAGAATAATCTTGATATGAATTCTTTAAAAAAGTATATGAATGTTAGGTCGTCACATGAAAGCGATGCGTAGTATGGCATGAATATAACGACAAGTGTGCAAGGGCTATTGCACCAGTGTCCGGGTACAATGTTAAATGGGCAAGGGTTTCCACATTAAGGACGAATGTGGACAAAGAAGCTAGTCCATAAAACTAAAATTAGGATAATAATTTAGAATATAGGCTCCTTTACAAAAAAATTAATGGAATTAATAGATATTATGTTTCATAGTAAGATAAATATTTTGTGCATTTAGGAAATTAAATGAGTTTGAGAGAAGGCTAAGGAGATTAATAGTTTATGATATAAACTATGGTATTCAGGTAAGAGTCGTACTAGAAATGATGTAAGTATGATTATAGATAAGAGTTTTAAGGATAATGTTATAAAAATTAACAGAATTGGAGATAGAATTATAACTTTAAAGATTATTGTTGATGCTAAGATTGTTAATATTATAAGTTTTTATGCTCTTCAAGCAGGTTTGGCTATAAGTTCAAAATTAAAATTTTGGAATGACCTAGAACAATTAATACAAAATATGCCTCTTGATGAAAGAATTTTTATTGGAGGAGATTTAAATAGACATGTTGGTAGAGAGGTAGATGATTTTAAAAGCATTCATGATGGTCATGAGTTTGAAATGACAAATGAAGGTGGTAAGATGATATTAGATTTTTCTTTAGCTTATAATTTTTTAATAGCTAATACATTATTTAAAAAAAAGATGAGCATATTAGCCCTTATAAAAATGAATATAGTAAAACACAGATTGTATTTTTTTATAAGAAAATTAGATCATTTAGATTGCAAAGATTGTAAAGTTATTCTGAGTGAAAATTTATATACCCAATATCGATTATTAGTTTTGGACTTTAAAATAAAGGGGCAAAAAATAAAAATATAAAGTAAAATGATTTTCTAGGATTAGATGGAGGCATTTAAAGAATATTAATAAAAGTATTTTTTAGAGTAAGATTTTATCTGTGCATGAGAATGCTAATATTATGTATGAAAAAGTGACTAGTGATATTAAGAATATTACAAAAGATAAGCTTGGAGTTTTGAAGTGAAAAGCTCCTAATAGTAAAAATAGTTGATGGTAGAATCCAAATGTGCAAGAAAAGATAAAAAATAAGAAGATTTGTTATAAAAATTCTGATAAATGAGAAAGCTATAAAGATGCTCGTAAGAAATCTAAGAAGGCTATTTGCGATGCAAAAGAGCTTAGTTTTTAATAATTTATATAGTATATTAGATGCTAATGAGGGAGAAATATATATGTATAAGTTATTCAAATAAAGAGATATAAGTAGTAAGGCTTTAATTCAAGTGAAGTGTATTAAGGATAAAGATCAAAAAGTACTTTTCTTAAAAGATGATATTCAACAAAGGTTGATGAGATATTTTGCTAAACTTTTTAATGAAGTATGTGAACGTACGATTGATATGGGTTGGAAATTTATACGACAAAGATTTAGGGATCATAATGGTCATTTTGCACCTATAAGTATTCTGAGAACAAGAATTGGTGAAATCGCACGAACAAAAGATGGTTCTGTCGTCGTCAATGTTGAGAATCCAATAGCTGATGTGCAACATTGTATTATTTACAAAAGTTGGCATATATACTTATCAAGATGCATTTCTATCAGAAAAATATCAATAGCTGAATATTATAGATGGTATAAAAAACAGAAGGAGTTCTTAAATATCAAAGATTGGCAAATCATCCAAAAGCAGTTCACAGAAAAATTCTTATGCTGTCCAACTTTAACCCAGCTGCAAGCACGTATGCGCATAGTACTGAGCCACATGTAATAATATTTTTTTCGATGTTGCTTTCAATCATTATCGTATGTATTAACATGAACTTGTGTTAAATACTTCTCGCACTATTTCTATTCCAAATTTTCTTTAAGATTAATAAAAAATTAGTTTTTTGGCTTCTACGCGTTCATAGCACTTCAGCCATCATTAATCAATTTTTTTTTGTATGATTATTAAATATCACAATGATAACCTAATAAAATCTAAATCAATTATATCTTCTTTTAAATTATAAATATTTTTTTATAAACTTTGCTTCAAATTTATTTTATTCTTATTATTCTCATCTCTCAATACCTAATTCACACAATTAACATAACTTTAAAAATGTATCCTAATATTATTAACATTTGTGTAAATAACTAAACAAAATACTAACTATATTATTCCAAATTTATATATGATATTTATGAGAAAAACATTACTTTGATTTCATATTTATAAATATTTAATATTTATATTTATATTTATTGATTATATTTGAAATTTCACACACAAACAAGTTTTCATAAAAATTTCTCTAATTCATATCAAATACATTTTATTCAAACCTCTTATTTTAACAAATATATAAATGTGCTTTACATATATATATATGTGTCTTTTTCTCAAGAATTATTTTCATGATCATATAACAAGTGATTTAAAGGTATTTTTAATGAAAATGTAAAAAAAAAATATTATTATTTTATTTCAATATGATAAAATATTTCTCTTTTTTTTTAAAAAAAAAATTAATATAAAATTGTCATTAAAATTTTATTAAAAAAATAATAAATAACCCTTACAAATTAATAAGAACAAGCTTCACAAACATTAACGACATTTACGTTGAGGTTGTTACAAAGTTCTTATTACATTGAAAATAAGGTATTTCAAGTAATGTTATTTATCCAAAAACACATTATTTAAACTTTAATTTCTTAAAAAAATATTAAATAAAAAATAAACTCTCTGTCCACCTTTATTATTTTTGGGATTAATAAATTATAAATAATTTAAATCTAATTTAACTTTAAACATTTTAATATATAATCAAACTAATATTTAATTAAATAGTTCAATTAGGATATAAATAGATATTACTATATTTTTTTAGATATATGATTATTACTTTTGTTTCATTCATAAAATATTTAAAAAAATCTAATATATTAAAAATTTGAGATTTAGATGATATTAGTTTGGCTGAAATCTCGGTTGCCCTTCCAAGAGAGCTCTTCACTGAAAACTTTGCCCAATCATATTGAGAAATCGACCTGAATACTAGGAAAAGCATTTTAAACAGACGGCAGAAGTGGATTCACACAATACGCTGGATCATTCAGCGAAATCCACAAAATACGCTTAAGCAATCGGCGCATTCAAAGAATACGCCGAAAGATTGTGTGCATTCTTTAAATGCGCCATTCATAAGCGCGTATTCCATGTATGCGCCGAAAACTTTGGCGTATTGGCTTGTTTTCAAATTCTTTTCCTAACACGCTGCTTCCAATAAATGGGGAAAGAAACCTGCTCCTTCTCAAAATTTGGCCTTTAAGAATTGTGAAATAGAGAGAGAGAGAGAGAGAGAGATGGCGAGAATTGAGGCAGGAGAATAAAAGATATAATAAAATAAAAGATATAATGGAGAGGAAATTTTAATAAAAGATTTAATAGAATATTTCTAATTACTTAGATTAGTAAAAATAAAAAATAAAAACTGATAAATCTTAAAATGTTAAATTATTAAAAATAAATTATAAAATTAGTAGGCTAAATATTATTTTTTTTAACTCTAATTGAGCTCTACTCGAGCTTCTTAGTTGAGCTCTAATCGAGTTCTAAGCGATACTCTTCGTGAACATATTTGAACCGAAGAACTTGTTGTTCAAGCTCGTTCATTTAGTTATCGAGTATTTATCAAGTGTGTTCAAACTCATTTGTTTACATTATCAAAAAAAAAAGAACGAGCCATTATCGAGCCGAGTCACGAGCAGCTCGTCGAACGCTCGGTTCATTTGCACCCCTACTATACATGAACTTTCTTTTTCTTTTAAAAATATTTTTTGATAAAATTATTCATAAATTTTAATTGAAAATTTAGAATTAGTATAATTTACTGCTTGCTGATATGTATCAATTTATTTTTTAAAATTAAATCTCCATCAAATATATACTATTAAAAAAAGAAAATTTAATTATCCTACAAATAAATATATATTGACAGAGAGAAGTCGAGAGAGAGAGAGAGGCCTATAGATTAAGCGAATATAATATTAAAATTAGTAGAAAACATAAAAGCTTGCTTTTTTTACTATTTTCGAAAATAATTTTTTGAAATTAAAAGTTTTAATTTATTACTATTTTTTAAAATGATATTTTAGTATAAATATTTTTTAAGTAAAAAAGCTATTTCATTCATAGAGAGAAAAAGAGAGCGTATGAAATGAAAGACGAAAAGGTTTGAAAAATTATTCTAAATTTTAAAAAAAGAAAATATATTATGATAAAAAAAAATAAAGTAGTTATTTTGAAAGCTTTCATAATCATTGAAAAATATATATTTTTTAAAAACATTAGCATTCCTTTTGATAAAAAAATTTATTTATTACATAGTTAATTTTTATTAAAAAATTTATTATTTAAATTTTCATAAAAATTTTGATTTATTTTTTAAGAAAATGTTAAACTTCAGTGAATCTGTACTTCTTTTGAAAAAAAAAAAAATATTTTATTTTTGAGATAATAAAGTAAAATTAGATTATTTATCGTTACATATAGAGATAAAAAAATCTAAAAACATTTTATTAAGATATAGGGAAAGAGAATGTTTGTGAGAGAGTGATTAAGGCCAAATTATGAAGAAATTAATATAAAATTATTTTAAATAATCATCAACAAAATAAAGCCAAAAATAATAATTTTACTCTATTACTTTAAAGTCAGAAATTTGATTAAACTTTTTAACTTATCAAGCTGCTTTGCTTGAGTTTGAGCTCAGGTGATGCTCAGCTCGATTAAAGCGGAAGGTGTAGGCAAAGCCCGAAAGTGGGGCGGAGCTCGAAAGCGCAGGCAAAGCACAGGCGACGTCCGCAAGTGCAAACCACGGGCATGCGACCAAAGAAGGCGGATTGGCAAAGCACTGCGGAAGGCTCCCGAGCAGCTCGTAAGCCTCGTTTTACTGACACGAGTCGAGCTCGAGCTCGTCTTTTGAGCCCGACTCATGTTCAACCTTGGTATTTTGCCCACTAGTCGAACTCAAGTTAACCTAACTCGAGCTCGACTCAACTTGTATTGCTACACCAAAATATGTGCATATTTCCTGAAAACAGAACAAAAATTAAATAATTTCAAATCTCACAGCAAAGACAATGGAAAAATGCCAACCTGAAACGAGCAAAAGTTATGAATAAAAAGAGAGAAGAGATTATTCCTCATTACAGTTTACAACAATACGTAAAATTAAAACCATGAAGACATGAAGTTAGTAAGACATCTCACGAATTTTACACATTATGCAGCACCACGGGAAAAGAGAAGTGTGATATTAGCGTTAATAAATAACTTAATACACCGCAATTATTCAAAAATTCAAGTAAGTTTAATCTAATATTCAACAAGAGGAGCTGGAGAATCTGTGTCCACACTGCAGCTGACCTTCCACTCATCATCATCATCATCATCATCATCAACAACAACAACAGATGAAACAGCTGCAGCCATCAAATCTACAACTGAAATAAAACGAGAGAAGAAGATAAAACAGAGTGGGCAGAATCATCTCTAATCACCTCAACAAACAAATTGATAACAGTTGAGAGATTCTGTATCCTCTACTGACACCCAAGCTTTTCCCAATAGCTACTTCCTTCGATGTTGGCCACAGGTGTGCGCGGCCGTTCCTTCTCAACTACACATCTTTTGTAAGGCACAAAGCCTCTGTTAGAGTTTGCAGAATATGGAATCAAACTGCTGAAAGCTGAGTTCTTGCTTGGCTTCAGCACTGGTGCTGGAGGAAATTTCTTCATTTGAATACCAATCTCAGCTGCCTCAGAATTGCTATCAGAGGTAGTGCTGGAATCAGTTTGAGAACTTTCGTTATGTAAAAAGCTCTCATCTTTGGAAGGCATTGGACTTTGATCTGATGGATTCAGAGCTCCTGAAGAGTGGAACGGCATAACTCCATACAAGTTCCACAAAGAAGGAAATGAAACCATATTAGGTTCCTGATATTCCGACTGATTCTTCTTACTCGAAGGCTGCTGCTGCAAGCCAGCTACTACAACGGTCCTTCCAAACAATCTAAGACATGTTATGTTCTGTCCTGTAACTGGAGCCTCTTTAGCAGCAAAACAATCTTGAATGCTTAAGTCTAATTCCTGAAAACAAGGATATAATAACCATTTTATCATTTGTTGTCCATCAATGATAATATCAAGGGGATTTATTAAAACCTTGAGTGAAAGAAAATACCATAGGAGATATATCTTGCAGGGTCAAGGAAGGAGAGGTATCCGATGATTTATTACATTTGTATTCAGCTGAGGTAATTTGTTCAACCAATATTTCCTCTACCGAGACTGTCTTATCAACAGATGAAACTGGTGACATACAAGGCTTTAGGGTGTCAGCAGCAGTTGTTCCACTTGTATCAGATCCAAATGCAGACAACACCGATGTCGGCGATTTACTCTCCTGCTCGGAAACTGATTGATTTGCTATGGAAGGCCACAGCTGTGCATCTATAAGAGGGCCTTTCATGATGGATAGATGACCCAATTTACGGGGGTATGGATGATTTGGTTTCCTTTTGGGTCGTGGAGGAGGTATCTCCATAGCTTTGACAGTGCTTGGATTATTGCTTGATGACTCCCGTGTCACCTACATTATGAACGGTAGAGAAATGCAAAAAAAGTTCAGAAAACTTTTGTTACAATCACAAGGAAATAGTCCCCATAATCCCATGGTACTCATTTACATGTATGATTTAGAGATTATAAGAGGAACCATTTACTGAGATTTAAAAGCAGTAGACCTTGGAAAAAAACTTCTGTGCATGGCTTCGAATCTGAACAGTAGTCTTCGATCCTATATGCTCTGCAAAAATGATTCATGGTGAGGAACAGAGGAAAGCTTGATATCCCAGAAAGCTTTCAAAGGTGTCATGGTAGTTAAAGAGAGACGCTTATAAGGTGACGCAAGTCACCTTCTATTCTTCGCCAGGCTCGGCCATGAAGTTTCAGTGCTTCCAGAAATTTATTGTGCTCTTCAGCAGTCCATCTTTCTCGTTGTTTCGTTATTATGTAAGGTTTCCTTACCTGCTTGTAATGAAAGATTGGGAGTGTTGATAGAGTAGACAAGAATGTAAGCAAACTACAGGGAATCAAACAAACATTGCAAGGCACATGCCATGTGGATGCTAGGAAGATACCTTGATAGCATGTTCAGAAATTGATGAATCAGCTTCTGCCATCGGGTGGAGACAATTTGCAGATGAGGCTTCTCCGTCCACACACATTCTCTTGGAGAGGAATAAACAGTACTGTGTAATCCTAACATCAATTACATAAAAATCAGATCTTTAAATAACATGACGTACAGAAACCTAATAACTTGTGACATACATGCTATTAGCCAACTTAAGAAACAAAAAAAGGACATTTGGCCTAAATAATATTCCACATAATACTGCCTAATTGAGATTTAACTTAAAAATATATATAGAGTAGCTCCTCTTGGCATATATATACGGCTTATTGCCTTGTTCAGCAACAGAAAACCTGAATTGCGCATATAAATACAAGCAATACCATTCTTAGAAAGGAGTTAAAAACACAAGTTATTTAGACAGATTCTGTTCAATAACAATAATTACTGTATGACAGCCTAAAATTTGCCTACTATCATTTGTAACATAAATTTTTTTTTTTCATCATTTCTGCAAGGAAGAATCTCTGTTCTTAGAATTAATAGGAAGCGGACTGTCTTTGCGAACGCCAAGAAATAGTCGTCACCAGCCAAGATGGTGCCATGGAAACTTGGATGCTGAAAAAGAGTGAATTCTGTAACTTGTCAGTTCTAATCATGACACCTGGTAGCCATATGTATGCTCTCGATTTGATATGAAAAATTAGGCATTATATATACCAAAATTTAAAATTAAATACGTTTAACGACTTGGAAAATTGTTGATCATATCAATATTTAGTAAATTCCTACAAAATAGGGTAATAATTTTGTTGATCTACTATTGAACTCCAATAGAAGAACAGAAGTAAGGAAATGGAAGATGCTACTCAGCGTTATCACTTCACTCTACAAACTCACAAAATTCTACACAGAAGGCTTCCTCTTCTTGTATATTTCCAGCAAAGTTTCTAATCATATTACATCAACTAAACAAATAGTATATTTAGAACGTCAAAACAGTGAGATTAATTACATAAAGCCAAATTACAAGAGTAAAAGAACCATTTCAGTAAGCTTTCGTTTGAAGCTGAATCAATACCTCAATTCAAGTGCTAAGAACGGCATAAAACAATTCAAGTGCTAAGAGCAACATACAACACGGACGTAAAGCACAATCCAACAACTTCATCGACAGATAAACATTTACAAAGAAATTCCCTCGATAGATTTCTTAGCAAGTCCTAAAACATGCATAATACATCGGATGACCGAAAATTAAGCAAGTTTCATACCAATAACTCAACCTAAATAAACAGGAGATCAAACCCCTTTTCAAAGTATGTCAAAAAATGGATCTATAACTGCTAAAACCCCTCTCAAAATAAGTCAAATACGGATCTGTAATTGTAAGAATACAAGAACCCCCCCAATCCAAAAGCCCCATACGGATTGAGTAGCCTTATGCCCCACCACCATCAATTAAAACAAAAAAAAATCCCAGTCTTGCAAACAAAAATCCAAAAAAATCAGCGCACCCCAGAGATTCAACACTGAAATCAGCCGATAATCAACAGAAACCAAAATTCTGCCATGAATCCCAAGAACAGAACCGAATCACAGTTGCAAAAAAAAACTACCGATCTACATAATCCCAACAAATAGAAAAATAACAATCAGCGCTCTACCTAGCTGTTCCACCGGAGAACGCTGGAACAAGGTCTTCTCGCCGCCGATAGGCCTTCTCTAGTTTGCCGAAAAACCTCCGGCGAAGTGAATTCGATTGAGAGAGAGAGAGAGAGAGAGAGAGAGAGAGTTCTCACTTCTTGTCGAAAAACAAAAAGAGGGTGGGACAGGCTGAAGAAGAAAAAGGCGCAGTGGGAGAAAAAGGCAAGCGAGTTCCGCCACGTCAGCTTCACTTTTGTATTTTTTTTTATTTCATTTATTTTGGCTCGGAAATTCCAGAAACCGCTCGTTTCTTGTGGCTCAAACTTCCCAGACCCGGCCCCGCCCACGTGTCAATGCCAGTCCTTCTCCACTTCTCCCTTTCCTCTCTATTAAAATAAATAATTAGTAAATCAATCATCAAATATTTACTTCTACTTTTACAATTATATAAAAAATGCTACAAATACATTTTACTTAAAAATATTTAAATAGATAAGCTATTTATAATATTTAACTAAAAAATTATCAAAATATTATAATATTTTTTTATTATGTAATTTTAATTTTATACTTCATATATTTCAATATAATTTTTTTTAGAATTGAAATATGAAAATATAACACATATCATCTTTACCGCCCCTTATTTATCACTCCATAAAACTCTTATTGTAATAATTTGATAATTTTTAAAATAAAATATTTATTTATGTTAGACAATTATGCCTTTTTCAAAAAAAATTCCTAAATATTTATATTTTTATCCTACATTTACAATATCTTTTATTTTTAATAAAAAATTAGAATTGAGAACCTAGAATTTGATTAACCACAAGCACTATATAACAATAAGAAGAAGCATGAAAAAATATATATTCCCATTTTGATAACTTTTAAGCCGGCAATATATTTTATTATTTTGATTAGGAAAAATATGAAAGAAAAAAATAAATTGAAAATATCTATAGCCGCTAAAATTCCGGAAAGAACCCTGGCCATAAGGTACGGATTAAAAGTGCCTGAGAGCTTCAGAACGCTTTTGTCCACGTCAGCGTCATAAATCGTCACCACAGGCAACGCGCCACGTTGCAATTAGTGCTTCCGCCAAACCAGAAAAAGCATTTATTTTAAAATATCTTTTAAATAATATCTTTTGAATAAAGGGTTGGCAGTGGGCCCCACGCACCCACTTGTCTCGTTGTGACTCCTTCCCCTTTTTTAAAATACACAAAAATAATTTTGGCCACATGTTCAAGTTGCGTGACCGGCTGTCATTGTTTCTTGGATAGAATTTGAGTGGTGGGAGTGTAGGGTGGAGATGAGGTCTGGGGATGAATGAACGGTGATGGTTGAGTTATAGCATTCCACCTTGGTAGGAATAATCAGTTATGACCGGGCGGTGAGCGGATAGCTGTTTTAAAGAAGCCCTTTAGTTTGACCAATTGATTTGACATGAAAGAAAAAATTAAGGAAAGAGTAATGGTTATTTTCCTTAATAAACAAAAATAATGGTTAATTGCATACATAATAATGTATTTTTTATATTAGATCTAAAAATTAGCTAAGATTATATAAATAAGAAGATAAGATCACAGATTTGGATTTAGCTAATGACTTTTTATATGAAATGTTTATTCATTTTTAGTAATTGACTTTAGATCTCTTATATTTATTTTATAAGAGCACTTTTTTTTTAAGAACCCTATTGGTTTTTTATACGAGCACTTAAGCTCATTATTCTTCTTATAATAAAATTATGATATGTTCTATTTTGAGCCTTGATGCTTCAGCAAATCGATTTAATCATGCACGAATCTTGATATGCATTTGAATTGGAAGGTTTTGAAATTAAATTCAATGTCATCAGGACTTCAATTTCAACAAAGTTATAGTCTAACTAATATGCTTGAGGAGACAAACTCATATCAACCCTGACCAAGAGCTTGAAGTATAGTTGAAAATTTTATAATATTAATTGGATGGCTAAATGATCTCCAAATTTGACGGGTTTAAATCGAGCATCTCGACTAGATAAATCAAATGAGATTAAGATTGTTCAATTTCAATGACTTTAATGCACTTAAAAATGTCGAAAAAATACTCTATGATCGAGAGAATAAGTACAGTCCATTCGTTGGACTTTTATGAATTTTTTTTATATCTACGGGATTTGTCAAGCTAAAAAATCTATAAATATACACCCACCACATGAAAATAACTATTGACAAGAGATTCAAGAGAGCTTAGAGGCTCCAATAATCACAAAGCTTCACTCAAGTACCACCATTGTTGAATCGTCGTCATCAAACCTTCATTATATGATAGTTGCTATTAGACTTTCACTATTGGACCTTTCTCGCTCTGCCACCTTCAACGGACCTTCATCATCTGACCATAGCTGTCAGACCTTTGTCACCCAACTAATGTTTTCGTATCACTATCTGACTATCGTCTTTGGACCACCACATGTCGACTAACAGTCACTATTATATCTTCATTGCCCAACTAGCAACGTAGGACCACCCCCTGATCGCCAACATCAAATCACAAACTAAACGTCTTTATCGAACCTTCATTGCACTACTATGAGCATCAAATCTTGAGCATATAATCTTCATCGTCGGACCACTGTCAGGCCATACCATTTGGACATTCTCAATTATAACCATTCAAATGTCTTTCACCCCAAACTGACTACGCCATATTTTCTTATGATAATCTATTATCTTGTAATCTCACCGTCTCCAAGTTCAGAGATGGGCAAACTTTTCTCCAATGCTCACACATGGTCGAATTATTTCAGTTATGTCAATCCTTATGGCTTGTTCCATTTCTAGATTTTACACATAAAAACTCTAATCTCACCGGTGCTCTTTTCATTTTTTTTATTTGTGTATTAGATATTTGTATAAAGCTAGAAGCCCATGACACAAAACTTGCTTACTCTATTACCATGAATTTTCAAACCTATAGTAAGCAGATGTTTCATTTTTTAATATTTTTTCTTTGCATGCTTTTATTTTTCTCATATGCGAGATAGGCCTTTTTCATTTTGATAGGAGTAGAGTAATTTGTCATTCAATTTTGTACCATTTACCAAGATTAATTTGATTTTTCATTAGTTATGAAAGAAAATAATTTTACCTATTAGGCTTAAAAAATCATATCTAATCAAGCTTAAAAAATCATATCTAATCAAGCATGATTTTTGGCACAAAATGAACATCTAAAGGCAAATGGAAGAGATCAAATTCATTATTCATTACACATTAAAAAATTAAAATGGATGTTGAATTGACTCTAAATTATGCAAAACAAAACTTTGCTAGATGAACTATCCATCATTGCAATTCCAACAACTGTATAAATGCTTGAATATTGTGATTGGATAGCACAAACCAAGCAAACCAAAAATTTCAACCTCTTGAGGAGCTTAGAATTCCAATAAATATAAACTTATCTTGTTGGGTGTTTCCTAACATCAATGACGTAGATTATATTTAGAAGTTTATAGATTACACATGTTGTTCGTTGTGATGAATTCGAGGTGCAAAGCATCCTCATTTGACCAATAAGATTCTGCCAAGCACCTATCTCAATCAATTGGTTAGATAGTTAATAAAATTAATATCATAAGAGAAATTTGACTAAATATGCCTCATAATAGTTGCAAATGATAAAATATGTCCACTATTAATTTTTTTGAGAAATAAATATATATTTTTAATAAAACTACTCTTCTTATATAAAAAAAGGTGTTGAAACCCTTATTCAAGACTTGTACAAACTTTCAAATAAGGGAGATGCTTGAACATTTATCATCTAAGCCCCTTATTCATCTCTGACAGTCTCAATGCTTCTGTGCCCGTTTTGTAATAAAGCTTCATGTTGGCACTAAAAGCATTAACACTTTGAAATAGAATAGTGCAACTCCATTTACTTGGACTTGAGTCTACTCATAGAGATATTTCAAGCATTCCTCCTCAATAGTATCAATTTTTATTCCAATCTATAGTTCACACTCATATGTTTTTTCTTAGCTTTGCCTTGCTAGAAACCTTGTCTTAGTCCTTAACTTAGATTGAATAGAATTTGTCCTTAAGATGGCTATCAAATTTTATTGTACTTAGAATGACCATAGGGGAATGTATACATTTGTAGATAAAGTTCTATCTAGTAAAATTTTCAAATACCATTTAGATGTTTGTTTACTTGATTTTTTTTTTAATATAAATCTATGTTTGATTAGTAAAGTGCTCTAAGATAGATCTTAAGCATATTTTCAATGAATTTACCATTTAGATAATTGTACTAAAAAAATTTTAGTGGCGCCGATCTGACCTATAGTATTCAAAGGATATTTTTAGAGTTTATAAATCTGGTATTCACCTCATCATAGAGAATATTGTATTTTATCTATAATAAATTTTCTCTACTTTTTGGTCATTGTAGGTTTGAAAATAACAAATTGTTTATTGAAGCAAAATTCTTTAAGAAATTGATACATATCGGTACAAGTGAGTTTCCTTGGATCATCTGGTATCCATTTGCATACCATTTTCATTAGGGTATTATAAAAATGATGTGTTTTTTTTAAATTATTTTTTAAATAATTTTTAGATCTTTGCATTACGAGTTATAAATGGATTTATATGAATTACTAATTAATTTTATTAGTTGCCATTATATCCTTAATTTAATTACTTATTAAAAAATCTTAGAAAAATAAATTTCCACTAACTCACCTCATTTCCATGAAATCTTTTCATTCCAAAACCATGAAGGACAGAGAGAAAATGCATGAGAAAAAAAATGAATTTTAAATAGAAAAATTCATGCTTAAATTGTTGATAATTTTAAAATGAATTTTAAATAAAAAATGAAAAAAAGCAGATATATTATTCTTAACATGCTTAAATTGTTGATAATTTTACTTTTTATGAAATTTATTGTATTTAAATTGAACACACTTAAAAAAATTGAGATATTCAGCATCCTAGTAATTTTCATCGTGCAATTTTTAATATATTATTGTTCTAGTTATTTTACATATATGTATATAATTATTGAGTTTTCACCAAGAATTTCAATTTTGTGATATTTTTGGATATTTTGGCAAATTTTCAATATTTGACAAAAATTTACATAATGTATTGAGAGCAC